CACAGGTAGCACGAGGTGAGCAGCCTTCCCGCGTGTGTGCCCGCACCTCACCATGACACGATGCTCATTGATCATCTAGTCGCACGATCCGAAAGCGAAGGCCATGTAGTTTTATCGTCCACAGCATCTGTCACCAACGATGGCACCCGTCAACCGGAGACCCCCTCGCCTGCGTATGGCTTCCGGACCGAACCCAACCGCCACGGCCGCACATCGAGCTATCCTATCAGCGCCTCACACGCAACAACATCAGCCGACCCCGCAGGGGATGCCATCAGCTCCAGCTACGATCTGCGGACCGATGTGCGAAGTCTGCTCGCCTCGCGCCCGAGCCTGCCCTCACACCCAAGTCACGACGAACGCGGCTCCCTCCAGCCGGGGCGCCCGTCATCTCGCCCGCACAGGACGATCCTCGACATGCTGCCGCCAGAATCAGACGCCGCGTTCCTCGTCGAGACGCTCCTCTCCTTTGTCGGGGTCTCACAGCAGTTCTTCGATCCTCGGGACGTGCTGGACCAGGTCGACCAGCTCTACGAGAATCCCGACAAGCTGAAGCAGGACTCGATCCTGCGCTTCTGCGAAACCATTCTGGTGCTTGCCGTGGGCATCCAGTTTGCAGTCAAGTCAACAGAGCGGAAGAAGAACCCCGGGATCGAGCTTTTTGACTTTGCCATGGGCTCTCTGCCGAGCGTGTCGACCTGGCGCGCAACGAGCACGCCGATCATGGGCATCCTCGGCCTGGCGGCTGTCTACCTGCAGAACCTCGACCGAAAAGACGACGCATACTTCTACGTCAGTACCGCCCGAGACCGGAAGATGGCGCCCCCCGAACTAACACGCAGCAGTCAAGCACAGCGTTGCGGTTGGCGATATCCTGCCGCCTGCATAAGAAGGCCCATACGCGACGTCAGCTGCAGTCGGAATGGGTCAAGTCGAACAGACTCTGGTGGACGATCTACATGCAAGACAGGTACATGATCCGTCTCGAAACACGTCCGAAGGAAGAACTGACGATGGCGCGGAAGACGCCTAGCAGCAGCGACAGAAAGCCCTTTGGGCATCGAGGACGACGCGATCACGATCGAGGCGCCGTTTCCGTCATTCGGCTTCCAGTCGCCTGATGCCATCAACATCAATGTCAGCCTGGCTCGCGTCAGCGGCCAGATCTACTCCAGTATGCGGCCTTGTCCGAATGCGTTTCGTGGAAATTCTGCTGACGGAACCCAGCAATCTATGGCTGCCACATGATTCGACAGGATGCGTTCGTGATCCGCGTGCAGGCTGTGATGCGATCCCTCCACAAGATTGCCCGCAGCATGCCCTCCGAGTTCTCGCTGGACTTCGGGGCGCCTGTTCTGAAAGTGACCAGAACGGCAGCATCACTACACTTGATGCTCTACCAGGTCAGTAGTCTGCATGAATAGTCTGCGTAGGGTCGCGGCTGACATTGGTCGTCACAGCCCTTGATGTACGCTGCGCGACCGCTGCTGCTCAGAGCGGCAAAAGGTGTCATCGGTCACCAGACGCAGAGCAGTGGCTTGGACGAGCCCCTGCTGCAGTCTCTCATCAAGCCGTGCCTGGCCGCTGCTCGTCGAAGCCTCATGATTCTAACGGCCATGCAGAACCAGGGCATCCTTGGTGCGTGACCAGACCAACTCCTTCTCTGCCAACGTCGGCATCCCGCTAACAAACCCGTCAGCGATGTACGGCTTCTTCGACCTGGACGCCATCTTCTCCGCAGCCTTCAGCGTCATCCTCGACAGCGTCATGAACACGCACGCCAGGACAGCCAACTCGACCTGGCTCAACAGCGCGTGCCATCTGCTCCTCGTCATGGGGGAGTGCGGCAACGCTGCCGCCGCATCACGCAGGGTTGAGATCCTGCGCATATGCGAGCACCTCTCGCTGCCCTTTGAGCCCGACGAGCACAACAGGTCGATCCCGGGCGACGGCACCAAGGCCGCCGACGCCGTCAACCGCGTCGACGACGTCGCCGCCACGCTGACATCCCTGCGCCAGGGGAACCTGCCTCCGTACAGCACGGCGCCGCCGTCCTCCGAGTTCTCCGGGGCGGCGCAGACAATCGGCATGGCCGGGCTCACAGACGACACGGTCAGTCCGTTTGCCCAGCTCGAGGACATGTTTGACATCCAGGCGTTCCTCGGATCGGATGAGCAGCCGAGCGGCGAGGCGCAGTTGTCGGAGCATGTGGCGGCGGCTGACGGCGCGACGATCGATGATGGCGATTTCTCCTGGCTGTACCAAGATTCTGATTTCGCGTTGACGGGCGCGGACATGACGGACTGGGAGGTGTTTGGGCGGTATCTCAATCTTTCGTAATGGTATCATTTCATTCAAGGCCCCAGCCCAGCAAAAGGGCGGGTATCGCTGTCTACGCCTTTCGTATCTTTGTTTCTTCCAGCGCCACAACATCCTCGACTGCTGCGCTCATAAACTTGGCCATCATGGACATGTCGTGCTGGACCACGATCCACCGGACACCGTACTCATGGATGCACTTGTGAATAATGTCCGGACGGTCGTAGATACCGGCGAGGGCGAGAAGTCGTCCGTGGCGCTTCGCAGCCTGGGAAATCTTGCGCATAGCACCGTCAAAGACGGGACTGTCCCACTTTCCGGGAATGCCGAGCTCAATAGACAGGTCGTTTGAGCCGACCATGATGACGTCGACGCCTTCGACAGAGGCAATGTCGTCGATGCGGTCCACGGCTTCCGGGCTCTCAATCATGACAAACACTGAAGACAGCGACGCGTTACCGACCTCGATGACCTTGTCGACAGAGGCAGACTTGTAGCCGAAGTGCGGCAGCGTGCCAGTAATGGATCTCTTGCCGAGCGGAGGGAACTTGCACGCTCTAACAGCTTCTTGGGCTTGCTCTGCTCTCGCATCAGTATACTCTGCGCAGTCGCTTCAACGAGGCGGGCCCGTAGCATACCGACAGTGTCGACGTGGGGAAAGATAACACCCTGGGCGCCGCCGTCGAGAACCCGTTGCACGAAACCTCGCCCGACATGGCCCGGTACCCGCACAAAGGGCGAGATGCCGGCTGTCATGGACGTGACGCAGAGCTCGCTGGCCGTGCCGAGGGACAGGGTGGAGTGCTCGAGATCGATGAAGATGCCGTTGAAGCCGGCGTTTGCGACGAAGCGAGGGGTCTCGAGGGCTGTGAGGACTTTTAATGCCGAAGACCTGAGCATATCAGACGTCGTTCCTAGGAGGAGAAATGTAGTGTTACGTGCCCTTGCAGACCTTGTCTTGGGCGGCGAGCTCATTGAGACGATTTGGGTAGGCGGACATGATTGCGATGTGTCCCGAGACACACAACTGGGCGA